TCACCAGCTGACTTAGGCATGCCTTCAAGTTCGCTTTCTGCTAATATCCCAGGGCTCACCTGACAGGGGGGCATCTCCTGCTTGGGGAGAAGTGACCCGGTGTGTCACTTTTCTTTTGTATTGGGAATTGAACTTGGGATCTTGCACTTGCCAGGCAGGTGCTTATTAGCCACTGAGTTATATCCTGGCCCTCTGTGTGCTACTGTTGCTAAAAACCCACTAGATTTTTACTGACAGATAACTCTAGCCACATGGAGCCCAGTGTTTGTGGCTGGAGCAACTACAGAACTATTTTAGCTTTACTGATTCTTAAAGAATTTAAGAGATAAGCCAGTCATGGTGGCACACACTCGTCCCAGCACTTGGGAGGCTGAGGAGGCAGGAGCTCTATGAATTGAAGGCCAGCTTGGGCTACGTGGTGAGGCCCTGTCTCAAAATATTAAAAGTAAAAAAGGCAAGAATAAATGATACAGAACATTCCCATAGCTGGGCATGGTGGTGCACACCTGTCATCCCAACATGGAGGCTGAGGCAGGAGGATCTCCATGAGTTCAAGGCCAGCCTGGACTGTATTGAGACCTTGTCTCAAAAAAACACAGGGGCTGGGGAGATAGCTCAGTAGAATAAGCACTTGCCTGGCAAGCGCAAAGTCCTGAGTTCAATCCCCAGTTCTGGGGGGCAGGGGAGATGTTCTTACAAAAAAATAAACACAACATTCCCATCATAGAAAGGTTCTGTTGGGGGGTGCTGCCTTTGTACCTCCAGAGGTTGAGCATGAAGGAAAAACAACTCTCAGGTTGGCTTTCTATACAGTCAATTTTTTCTTTTAAAACATTCTTGAAGCACGGCTGGGTACCGAGTTCAGGGGATAGGGTGGTGGTTAGCAGGAAAGAGGCCCTGTGTCCCATCCCTAACACTGAAAACAATTTTCAAAGTCCAAGAAAATCCACTTCATAGCAGAACTTTGTTCTAAGCCTGTATAATTACTTACCTTGTAATAAAACCAGTTCTTTAAAAAAATGACAGCAAACACACCAGCGGCCAGCATATCCAGTAGGGCCGGAAATGGGTCTTCTCAGGGTGGGGTAGCCCTGGCCCGCCTCCTGGCAGTGGTGGCTGGAAGCCTGGTTCTGGTTTGGCTGGGCCTGCGACACCCTGCACGCCCTGCTGTTCACTCTGCCCCTCTCTGAAACAGCAGGGACCAAGTCCCCAGAGGAAGTGAGGAGCCCTAAGCAGCAGAGGGAACTAGGGGCCAGGCCCCTGCCTTTCTCTCCCAGCATGTGCCCAGAACCCTTCTCTTGCTTTCCCGACTCCTCCCACCCTGCCTGCCTCTGGAGGGGTGCACCAGCCCCACACCTCACCACACCCCACCAGCAGAACCCTCAAACAGATTCGCAGGACTGCTCCCCTGAGGTTTAGCATGTCTTTAATGCTGTCACGCTGCATAATGACAAGTCACACACTTAGTTTGTGTTGGCAGTAGCAACGTACAATAAATCTAAAAAGTCTGAGCACCAGACTGGCTTCCGGAGAATAGACATCTTTCTTCTCACGTCTCCCCACCCCCAAGGTTTCTTCTGAAATCCATTACGGTCCTGTACAGATAGAAGCAGTTGCCATGGACTTTTTCATTTGAGTGTCCACCAACTGTACATGGAATTATAAAAACGTATTTACAGACGTTTCCACAGTGCTCCTGTAATCAGAAGCAAAGACCCTTTTATCAAAAGGGATATCTAGGGCTGTGCAAAATTCAAAAGGATCAGATCCCTTTGAGAGTCCAGAGTCCATTGAACAAAAAATTAGCTGGGCCACTGGTAAGCCCTAGGCATGTCAGAGGATTTTCTTCCGGAGCAGGCAAAGACTAACCCGGAAGTCAGTGAAGTTGGCTTCACCGAAGCTGCAGGTGAGGACCCCTGCTCCAGCCAGGCCCCCCAGGCCACGGGGGAAGAGGCGGCTGTGAGATTTGCTCACTGGAGGCCAGTGCCTTTGGTCCTGCTGGGATGAGGTATTGCTTGTGGTGCCAGCCAGGCAGTCTTGCAGAATTGTTTCAGGTTCTCAATTTGAGATGGCCAAAGAGAAGACAGGATTCTCCAGGGGAAGAGCAAGGCAGGGGAGACAAAACACAGGATAAAACATGAATTCATCGCATAACAGCAACTGGAGTGCACAGGGTCTGGTGCCTGCCTCACAGCTGGAAACAAAGAGACTACAAGAGGTTCCACTCCAGCTGCAGGGCCACCTCTCACCCCAGCTGGGCAGGGGCTGGAGGAGCAGAGGACGGGCTCAGAGCAGGAGGGCTTCGGGACAGCAGGGCAGACCTGATGCCTTTTCCTGCTGTTCCCATCATTTGCCACCCTGTCGCTCGGAAAAACCACTTAAGCACAACTTTCAAAGATTGCAATATATTCTCTGGAAACACCGAGCAGCATGATAGCCCTTCCCTGGGCCCTCCCGCCCTCGCATAGCCACAGCTGAGGGGGGGGTCTGGAGATCCTTGAGCTCTGGAAAGGTCCCTGGCAGTCCTTGGGAATGCAGCTGACTATATTGGAAGAACCTGCTCGAGGATGGTTCTTGAGGTTTGTGGGATCCTGTCCGGGAAGGTCACTTCAAACTCGATGATGAGGTCCCCGCGTTTCTCGGGTGTCTTCGGGAGAGGGAGGCCTTCTCCAGGAACTTTTCGTCTCATGCCAGGCCTGATGACATCTTTGAATACAACAGGTATGGTCCTGCCATCCAGAGTGGGAACATTCACTGTACAGCCACAGAGAGCCTTAGAAAGCAAATGGACAACATTAGACAAAAGCCACAAAGTCTTTTGCTCAGAGGCTTTCTGCCCAAGCCTCTGTATTGATAACTACCCATGTCATCAGCGGTGACAGCCCAGTGGAACAGACCTCAGCCTACTGGCTGCGCGCTCAGAAGCATTTCTGGAGCAAAGACCAGACAGCTTCCGGAAGCAGCCCCTCCCCCCTGCAGGGTCCCAGTCCTTACCTCACGTAGGCTGATCCTGGCAGGATAAATGACATCGGAGCCATCTCTTTTAAAGATATTGTGTGGCTTGTCCTTTAAAACAAAGACAATATCGGCCGGAATGTTGTTGGAGGTCTGGTCTCCTTCCTTGGGGAAGGTAATTTTGGTCCCTTCTTTCCACCCCTTTTTCACTTCGATGGTCAGGATTTTGTCTTCGTTTCGAATGCTCTTTCCATCGGGGTTGAGCCGCTTATGGGAGATTTTCATCTTCTTGGTACAGCCACTATAGATCTCTTCAAGGGAGACCCTAAGATCGTGGGTGACGGGGGGATCTTGCTTCTTTCGGGCAGGTTCCTGGGTAGGGCGAGAGCGGCCAAAGTTCATGTTGGTGAAGCCACCCATGTCCATGGCTGGGAAGGCAGAGAATGGGTCATCAATGTCCATGCCTTCTTCCCTGTTCCGCTGCCCAAAAAAGGTGTCAAAAGGATTTCTCCCACCGAAGAACTCCGCAAACATAGCATGAGGGTCTCCATGGAATGTGTAGCTGAACGAGGTCCCATTTGTACCACTGCTTCCACCACCACTGGGGCCACCGCCCTTTAGACCTGAAATGCAAGACCGAAAGTCAGATGGCTGGCTAGGTGCTTTTCTCCAGGTGCTTAAGGGGAAAGCCTGGGAACCTGGGGGAATGTTTAACCTGTCAGGGAAAAGCAAGGGATCCAGGACTTAACCTCCCACTGGAACAGTTGAGGGAGGTAGATCAGCAGCATGCACCTCAGAGCCAGGTCAGTGGCAAAGTGCTCAGGTCTAAGCTTGGGCTTGGTCCAAGCCTCTGATCTCAGTGCTTGGGAGGCTGAGCCAAGATTGCCAGTTTGGGCTACAAAGTGGGTTCCAAGGCCAACCTTAACTACTTGGTGAAGCCCGGCGCCCAAAATAAAAGCCACAAAATAAAAAAAAGGGCTCAAGCTCTACAGAAGTGGCCAACTGTAGGTTCTAACCAGCCTCCCAGCCATGTTAGAGGCCAAAGAGCTCACTAAAAGCTCAAAGAAGAAAGGCCTGGCTGGGGTGAGCTTTCTGTAAGAGTTAAAAGTCTCCAGGGCAAGGGATGAACAGGCAGAGTAAAACTACAGGTTAAGCCAGGCACCTTGGCGCACGCCTGCAATCTCAGAAGCACTCGGGGAGGCTGACACAGAACCACCAAGTCTGTGTCCACCCTGGGCAATTTAACAGACCCTATCTCCAAAAATACACTTTTTTAAAAGAGAGGGTGTGGCACACGCCTGTAAACCCAGCACTGCGGAGGCCGGGGCAGGAGGATCGTCGCAAGAAAAAAAAAGTACGACAAAAGAATGAGAGAAAAGGTTTTGGAAAAGTAGCACAGAGCAAAAGCCCTGGGTGCAAGTCCCCACATAAAAACAAAAACAAAACCACGCTAAGCAGCGTTGGTTCCCCCGAGCTCGCCCCGCCCGTCTTGCTGGAAGCTTCGGCGCCCGCTCCGCCTCCTGCGCCCCGCAGGGCGGATACACGGAGGCCGGGCGGACGCATGGCCTGGGGCTGCGGGAAGCCCTGGGAGCGCGGAGGCCAGGCCGGCGCAAGGCGCACGCACCCTCCTCGCCGTAGCGGTCGAAGATCTCGCGCTTGCGCGGGTCGCTCAACACGTCGTAGGCCTCGGCGATCTCCTTGAACTTCTCCTCGGCGCCCGGCTCCTTGTTCTTATCGGGGTGGAAGCGCAGCGCCTGGCGGTGATACGCGCGCTTGATCTCCTCATCCGACGCATTGCGGGGCAGGCCCAGCGTTTGATAGTAGTCCTTCCCCATAGCACCCACAGCCGCCGTCCCGGCCCCGCCGCCACCCGGTCCTGGACCCTATATACCCGTCCGGCGGAAGCTTCCAGATCCCGCCAGCCCCCTCCAGAACCTTCTGCCCCGCCCTCCAGGTCACGCTGACCAATCACCAACTCCAAATATGTGACGTGAACATCCGGGGCGGGGCCCTGCTGCCAACCGCCGTCCGCTCGGGTCACGTCCCTCCCCGCGGCGCACGTACTAAGGCTAGGAGTCCCGCCCACCCCGCGACGACAGCCAATCACAACGTTCTTTCGCTATCTCTGTTGGCTGTCCGGTGCCTCGCCGCCTGACTGAGTCCGATAGGTCAGGACGCGGTTCATAAATTCGACAGACTGTACAACCCACTACCCTGACCCGGAAAACTGGCAGGGTCTGGCTGGTGGGTGGTGGCGGGCCTCACCTCCTTTCCTTCCGCCGCCGGTCACTTGCGGTCACAAGGGGGCGAAAGCGTCCACTCCCCGTCTTCTGTCTTCTGCAGTGACAGAGCTATAATCCCAGCTCTGGGAGGCTGAGGCAGGAGGTTTCCAAAGGTAGAGGCCAGCCTAGGTAACTGAGCGAGACCCTATTTAAAAAAACAGGACCAGGGAGATAGCTCAGTAGAATAAGCGCTTGCCTGGCAAGCACAAGAGCCCGAGTTCAATTCCCGGTTCCACAAAAATAAATAAATAAATAAATAAATAGCAAAAAACCAAACCAAAAGTCTTAAGCAACCAAAACAAACAAACAAAAACAAGAAAACAAACAAGCACATTTGGCTGAGAATGTAGCTTTTGGTAGAGTTTATGTTTGGTGTTTTTTATTTTGTTTTTGTTTTTTGGTGGAATCAGGGATTGAACTCAGGCTCTTGCACTAGCCAGGCAAGCACTTATTCTACTGAGCTATCTCCCCGGCCCAGTTTGTTTTGGAAGCCCAAGGTTCTGGATTTGATCCCCAGGATCAAACAACAGCAAACCCCAAACCCCAAACCAAACCAGTAATTGTCCTTAAACCACATTGCCCTGGGCCTCACTGGGCCCTTTAAACTTTGCTACAAACCTGACTTCTGCCAAATCTCTGGATCTGAGGCTCTGCACCCAGAGAAGCTATGGTGGTAAGTTCTGGGCCAAAGGCTTGTGATTCTGGTAGATGTGACAGGTGTTGTTGTCAGGGTCCCTGTAGATGTAGGTGGGTGACATCTGCAATTGTGGGTGGGGAGGACCTCAGTACTGCAAGATGTGGCTTCATCCAGTAGGTGCGGAGGTGGGAGAAACGCACTCACAGGTCCCCTGTGGGAGAAGCCAGAGCTTGGCGTGGGTTTCTACCCTGCCCTCCACATTTCAGACTTGCTAGCCGTCAAAAGGTGTAAGCCAATTATTTGAAATAAATCTGTTTTATTTTGATTTTTTGTGGTGCTGGGGTTGGAACCCAATGATATTGCACATAATATTCAAATGTTCACAGCTGAGCTCCGTGCCTAGCCCTGAAGTGGATGTTAAAACACACACAGGCACGCGTATGTGCCACTTGTTCAGTTTTTGTGCTGAGACCCTGACTGGCAGAGGAACTAGTGGGGAACTGGGGCTCAGTCACCCCAGTCTAAACCCTGGATGGACCTGATATTTACTTACTGACTGCAGAGATGCTCCTGTGTGGTGGTCTCTCGCGGGGCCAGTCTGTCATCTGTAAAATAGAGATAAGAATAGATTTTATCTTTTGGTGTTGCTGTGTAGATGAAACTGAGTGGGGCCAGGGGATGAATGTCATTATAAGACCAGTGAAGGGCTGGGGAATATAGCTCAGTGGCATAAGTACCTGCCTGACCCTGAGTTCAATCCCTGGTAACCAAA